TTCAGTTGCCGACTGTGAGCTGTCACTGTCACTATCGTTCAGATGGAACCCAATCTGACGAGCCATAATGCCACTGCGCTGTCTGCCTTTGTTCAGAACTGGTAACGTTCCCGTTGCTTGTTTGCCTGCTCGTAGTATTCTTGCATCTTCACTCTTCACGAGCCGACCCCTGCACAATTTAGAACCAATCTGACGTTCTCGCTTTTTGGAATTGAATTTCTGAATAACGAAATGGAATATCTAGCAGAATCCAAATTCGTCTGAAAAATTATTGATCAGAGGGGAGGTTCTTCCATCATCGATCATCGAATTACTTTTCTTATTCATTTGTTCTTTTTTCACCTTCCGTTCGTCCTTCTTCTCCCTCTCCTTCTCCCCCTTGATTTTTTCACCATCGTTTATGTCGTTCTCTTTCTTTTTTCCTAGATTTTTTCCTTCCTTCCCCTCATATCACACTTTGTTCTTCTCATTTCCATTTTCATTGTCCGTCCTCTTTTCTTTCTCATATCTATCTATGTTAACCGTCCTCTCTCCCTTTCTCTTTCAACCATTGTTGCCCTTACCGTTGTCTTTTGCCTGTTCCTCCGCCATCTCCATTTAATTTTTCAGTTTATTAAATGTCTCGCTATAAAACACATCACAGTAGTTATAAAGTAAGTCGTTAAGTCACCGTTAAACGCATGGAGAAAACACTCCAAGCCATTAGGTTCGCCATTCAATCTGATTGTGGACATTGGGTTTATCGAATAACACATTGGGAGAGCCACGACTATGCGCGAGTGAAATAAGTGACCATGAAAGACTTGAGGGATGACTCGTTGAGGAGAGATTCTGCGCGTTTCGTTTGAGGACGGGTCTGCCGTGCCATTGGTCGTTTCCGTCGACAGCACTGGCAGACAGAGGGCAATCAGCCGGGCTGGCATTGGTGCGTACATGAAGTGATTTTAATGCGACTACAAACAGTTCAAGTGTTGCAGCTGCGCGTCGGACACTCGAAAAATTGACAGGGGTCTCGCGTGCCGAATAATAGCCCTGGGCT